GGGAGTGCGCGAGGCGCTCCGCTACCATTTGCTGCGGCCGCTGGGCTCCGAGGGCAGCGGTGGCGGCGGGGACCGACCCCGGGGACCGGCAACGACCCGGCGCCTGAGAAGCGGGCCGGAGCGCGGGGAGGCAGCGGGCCCGGGAGGCCGCGTCCATGGGCCCGCGGCGGCCGGGCGGCGGCTGTGCGGGCGGGCGGCGGGGACCGCGCGCTCTGTGAGGGCCCGGGCGCGGGGCTCGGCGCCGAGGTGCCCCGGCGCGCCGTGCAGCGCCGCGCCGTCGTGCGAGGAGAGGCCCGGCCCGCATCCCGGCGCCCGCGAGGCCGCCCTGACCGCCGGGGGCGCGCTCCGGCCGCGGCTGGGCCTGCGTTCGCGGCCCGGCTGTGAGGCGGCCGGCCGGCGGGGGCATGCCGCGGCGCCCGCGCTGAGCCCGGCTTGAGCCCGCCCCGAGCCCGCCCCGAGCCCGCCGTGCATGGTGCCGCCGCCCGCCAGCCGCCGTCCGCCGTCCGCCGCGGAGCGCGCGCCGGGCCGGGCCTCCGGGCCTGTGCCGCCGCCGCGCCGACCATGTCGGCGGCCAAGGAGAACCCGTGCAGGAAATTCCAGGCCAACATCTTCAACAAGAGCAAGTGTCAGAACTGCTTTAAGCCCCGCGAGTCGCATCTCCTCAACGACGAGGACTTGACGCAGGTGAGCGGGCGGGGGTTCCGGGGCCGACCGGGAGGTGAGACCCGGGTCCCGCGCGGGGCGGCCCCCGGCCCCCGACCCCCGGCGGCCCCCTCGGACTGGAAGTTTGCCGGCGCGCAATCGCCCGGCTAGGTGTTGCAAGCCGTCGTCCGAGGCGGGCGAGAGTGCCTTGCCGGGGGTGCTGGCCGCCTCTCCCCGGTTCTGACGCCCGTGCAACCACCATCCTGCTGTGGAGAGGAGAGCGGACGTTATCCAGTTCCCGAGGCGGGCGGGGGTGGGGGGTGCCTCTGAAGGCTCCCGGGGAAAATAAAAACGGAGCAGAAAAAAATGTACGTGGGTCCTGGGGAGGGTAATGAGGATGGAGATGGGGGGGGGAGGGAGCGGGAAGTGTATTGATAGAGCCGGGACAAAGGGAAAATCCTCAAGTATGCCGAAAAATAACATCCTTTCCCGTTCCCATAGCCCTGCCGTGTGATTCATGCTTTTTGGGTGACTCAAAAATGCCTGGTTTTTCTTAGGAGGAACAAAGCGCTTGGGGATTGCTTGCTGCTTCGTAGTACCCCCCATAGAGTCCGTTTTAGGACCCGACTTAGACTTGTCCACCCAGAGTGGCCCAGGGTGCAGGACTGTCTAGGTGGACTGTGGGCTTCCCTCTCATCAGACCCAGTTTGCCCGTTTTCTAAATCATTGTCACTGTCAATGATGGGAGAGGTGAATGGTCCTGAAGTCGGGGGAGGAGGGTCTTGCTCTTGAACTTAAACTGGAGGGCTTTTTGTTGATGGGAGAGCTGGGGGCTCCTCTCCCCACCCTTTCTCCCAGCTCTCTGGTCGCTTGGCAAGGAATAAGGAGACCTGTGGGCCTTCAGGAAAGTCCGTTCACTTCTCTTGGCCTTATCTGTCATGTGAGGGCTTTGGACTAGTTTAGTAGCTCCCAAACCTGCATCAGAGTCACAGTCTAAAAATACAGAGTCCTAGGGCCCCATTACTGGAGTGATACAGAAGATAAGGAATTTGTTTTGTAACAGTTCCCTAAGAAGTTGGACTGCAATCCCCACTGGCCTTTGGGAACCCCTGTACTGGTTGCTCTCTGAGCCCCCCGGATCCCAAGGATTCTCTGGAACACTCTGGAACACTTGGGCTATGCAGATTCCTTGGACCAAGCCCTGTATACAGCCTCTTGGGATGTGTCTGTGCCCCTCCTTGCCTCTCCCCCAGTTTCAGTCTTCTTCAGAGCTTTCTCTCATCTCCGCCCCCCCCCATGAGGCCAGGGGAGCTCCCTTCACATTCCAGTCCAGTGTGACCTAGTTGTAGCCACTCCTTTTGCAGAAGAACCCTTTAGATGGAAAACATTGCTTTGAAGTGTACAGCCTGGCTGTTTTTAATGCTACTTAAGTACTCACAGGGTTTGAATTGTTTACATGGCAGACCAGAGTAGGGTGGCAGGGCAGGGGTTATGGCCTGAGACATGGTGTCTTCCTCTGTGATCAGAATCCCAACAGCCAGGAAAAGACTCCTTTCATCTAAAACCAAAAGCTTAACGGGAACACTCAAGGCTTCAGTCATAGATTTTTGGGATGAAGGGCCAGTCAGTTTGGGAAGACTAGAACTCGGGAAGACTAGAACCAGTTTCCTGGTAAGGTGTTCTGGGTTGGGCTTTTCAGGGACACTTTCTCTTCTCAACTGGATGCCTTTTTTGGGAGAAGCAGTTTATGTGGTGATGAGGGCCTTGGACGAAGAGTCAGGAGACCTTTCTTCTGTCTTCGCTGTCACTTTCAGCTGTGTGACCTTGAGTAAGTCCCTTTGCCTTTGTGTAGTTTCTTTTCCTTTTCTGTAAATTGGGAGTAGGGATCCCTGGCTTACCTGTCTCACCCTGTGAAAAGCAAAGAATAGTATCTTATTAAACTCTTTTCTCTTACAATTTAACAAACAAACAGAAATCACCCACAGAATAGTTAACTTGGATTTAGGAAGTTTCTGGGCTTGGCAAGGGTTGTTCTGAGAGAGTTTCCTGGTTATTCCAGGCAACTGCCAAAATTGGTACATGGGATATTTACACCTCATAAGGACTGTGTTCTGATTCTTAGGCTTAGATAAACTGAAATGGGATCTGCATATTTCAGTCCAATCTGTTAAATTTTCTTTAAAAAATCTGTTGATTATTAATTCAAGAGAGAATGTTGCAGATCTAAAGTACGTTACTCTTCAACTTTATTCACAGTTAATTGTGGGTTTTAAACAGGCCTGAGTCTTCCAGGACACAACTGGGATGGTAGTTTCTGAAATAATGAGTGGGGTTATTTGTGCCGGGAGAGATTAGGCCAGCCTTCTACCTCCTGGGATCTTTCAGGAAGAAACTGCTCTTGAAAAGAGAAGGAGGGAGACTCAGGGCTGTTGCCAACAGCTTTAGCTGCTGCTCTCAGCATCCGGCCTCCCCCAGCCTTACTCTCATCCTCTTGGCTCCATTAGAAAACCTCAGCCAATTGGTTCCCATCACTCTCCCCCAAGGCCCTGCTTCCTGCTGCCCCTCCCTGCCCTGAGCTTATTTTAGACCTTCAAGGCTGGAAGATAGATCAGCGATCATTGAGGCCACCCCCTCTTTAAGGCGTTTATCCTTCAGTCCTGTGCATTTCTCTACATGCATATGGACTTGAATACACAGTTAAAACCTTTACTTAACCCAAACTATATATGCATTTGCTCTGCTACATATTTTTTCCTGCTTAATGACATGTCTTACAGCTCTTTTCATGGTGCGACATATAACTATTACAAAATTGTTTTGCAAATTGTGCCATCAGGGATGTACCATATTGTAACCATTCCCTTACTGATGGACAGCAAGGTTACTTCTGGGTTTTGCTGTTACACACAGTGACTGCTTCAGCGAACAGTTTTCTAAATGCTTTTGGGTGAGTGTGTGCGTGCATGAATGCAAGTATTTCTCTGGGGGCAGATAGCTAAAAATAGAATGGCTGGGTTGACATCAAGCACATTGAATTTTTTTTTACAGATATCACTAAATTGCCTTCCAAAAAAGGCTGTGTTGTACCTTTGCCAGGATTGGATATTATCGGATGATTTAATTCTTTAATAATTTCCCTAGTTACCAGTGAGGTCAAGCCTCTTTTTACAATATTTATGGTATATGTTTTGTTTCTTGTGTAGACTGCCCATTCATACTGTTTGCCTGTTTTTCTGTTGGGTTAATTTCTTGCTCCCCACCCGCCACCCCAGCTGGTTGGTAGGAGCTTTCTGTCTACACTGTAGGTCAGGGGTCCACCGACTTTCTCTCTAAAAGGCCAGATAGTAAATATTTTAGCCATGTGGGCCATATGATCTTTGTGGCAACTACACAATTTTGCCATTGTAGTGTAAAAGCCATCATGCAAAGCCACTTTAGACAATACGTAAACTTATGAGTATAGCTGTTTCTGATAAAACTGTATTTACAGAGTTACAGAGACAGGCAGCTAGTAGGGTTCAGCCTGTAAGCTCTAGTTTGCTGACCCCTGCTCTAGATCTTAATCTGAACCTGTCCTATATTGCACGTATTTTCTCCCACGGTGTCCGTTCTAATGTTATGTATGGTCATTTCTCTTTTTCATATGGTAGTTTTAAATAAGAATGCAGTTAAATTTCCATGTTTCTTTTTTAGTTTGTAGTTTTAATCTAGTGATTATGAAGGCCTTTTTTTCAAGATTATAAACTATTTTCTCATGTTTGTAGTTCCCTTATAGTTATTTTTATGCTTAACTTTCTAATCCATCTGAGTTTTGTGTCAGGAAAATAATTTCGGCATGAGAGTAGAAGCTCTAAAAGATTGTCTTGAATAGTCCAGGTAAATTATGGTAAAGGTCTTCTCCAGGTCAGTGTTGGCCAGGACGGAAGGAGTCATCAGACACTAGGGACAGGATATTGGTAGTTGATTGGAGGTGGGGATTGAGGAGACCTGGGTACCTTCACAAAGACTGAGAATAACAGATAGAGAGGAGGTTTGTGGGGTGGGGAGGAGGTGGAGGTCTAGTGTGGTCCTTAGGTGGGATCACCGGCTCAGGCATGCAGGTGCTTAGAGCTAGATGAGGGGTGTGGGACCGGTAGGAATTCTGAAGTCGTGGGAGTGAGTGTAGTCTGTCACTCAGGAGGCCACATAGAGTGAAACGAGGGGGAGCAGGTGGGGAAGGGAGGTGAATCGGGTTGGCGGTCAGTGGGAGCAGAAGGTCTGGAGCCCAGGGTTCTTGGATCCCAGCCTTAGTGTGGGTTTCTGGGGTTCATGGTGGGTATTGACCTGGCGTGATGTCTCATCTTCCTGCCGACTTGTACGACTTTAGGCATGCCTTTTGTGGAAGGAGTCACTGCATCTGAACTTAAGTTCTAGTTCCTTCTACTGCTGTTTTGTTGTGGGATCTTGGCTGGGTTGTTTTCTCTTCTCAAGCTTCAGTGTTCCCATCTGGACTATGAGGAGTTTGGTCTTGATCTCTGCCGGAGCTCCTCCAGTCCTCCTCCATTTCTTCTGAGATCTCTTGGTCTAATTGTGCCCCTCGCTGTGCGGCACTCCACTGCCAGGGCTGCTTGGGGTCTTGGGGTGAGAGTCCCAGACACAGAGGTGGGTGGGTCAGGACCTGTTCTCTGTGAATCATTTCATTGACTTTCCCTTAATCTCTGTGACATTCTTAGAAGTTCTAGGGCATGGAACTTCTTTATTTCACTTAACATTTATCTCATAAGCAATGGGGAGATTTCATGACCACCCTTTTGAGGTTTATGATTTATGCGCATATTGGTAAACGGTTTGGCAGGGGCTATGTCAGAAATCCCAGACCTTACAAATGGCCAACAAGCACAGGAAAAGATGGTCAGTATCATTAGTCATTAGGGAGATGCAGATCAAAACTACAGTGAGTTATTACTTCACACCCAGTAGGAGGGCTATATTAAAAAAGGGAAGGTCATAAGTGCTGTTGTGGATGTGGAGAAATTAGAACCCTCATGCAGTGCTCATGAGAA